AAGGCACAGGACATGGCCATCCATGCGGTGTCGCCATTGTTCAGGCCCTCCATCTCTTACCCTTTGTTTCTCGGAGGTCTGACGGGACTGTTACTACGCCCGCTTGCACTTAAAGCCAAACCAACATATGTAGTTGATCAACATTCCTCTGGGATACATGGGGATGACATAAGGATGTATTGGGATATTACCCAAATATGTAGGGTGCTGCAAAAGAATGAGAGCGTAACTTAACAATTTTTCCAATTTGTTTTATGAATCGTCACCCAAGTCCTCATCTGACAGTAGCTTCCACAACCTGCCCAACATACTAGTAAGACCTTTCCCGAAAACTTCCCAACGACCTGCACACGGTTGCTGCTTTTTCCTGTACACGGAGAAGCCCCGCAGCAGTGCTGTGTCAGGCCCTATGGACCTGCTCTGCCTTGAAACGTGTGGGCCAAAACTGCTCACTTCATCGCCTTCATGGCCTGTGGGGCGGTGGTGGCTTCAAGGGTCGTGGGATTTAAGGCGGGGGAGGAGAAGGGCGATGGGTAGAGCCTGACACAAAAAGAATTGTCATCAAGGCTCACGATGTTCATGCAAAGCAACAGATCATAAGTTGGCACGAAAATTGCGAAAAATCTGAAAACAACATCTCACGCGGGCAGCACGCTGCCTTCATCGCCTTCATGGCCTTCATTGCCTTCATTGCCTGTGGGCGCGACATGACGGGGTAAATATGGACCAAGAAGACGGCGGTCTGTGACCAACATCACTCATGAAATGGTATGGCTACGCCTTACTTATTGAATAACTTAGTGAATAACCTAGGGCATGTTTCCCATTCTGTTTCTATAGCTTAAGGAGACAGTCTGTGCAGAAGCAACTCTTCGTTCAAAATGGTCCGGGCCTTCATTGTTTCATGTTTAGCGTGGCAGCCCTAGTAGGTCCTTGACCAACCAAACCCAAACGGACATTATGGAGTTCAACATTAAAAAGCTCATGCTGCAGCCTTGTATGATTCCCATACTCGCCTGAAAGAAATCTGAACACGCAGCACCGACACGACATGTGCGCTGCATGTGGTCATACAGATAGAGCAGAGGCTTTGTGATGCGATCTGGCAAACCTAATCGCTGAAGTAACTCAAGCCCAAGCTTCACATCGACTCGATCAAAGCATGCCGTATAGTCCAGGCTAACTCCCACAACAGGTTCATTATCCGCCGTTGCACGCGCGACTGCTGTCAACACAGGCGCAGTAGCTGTGACAGTGGACCGTTTAGAGAGGCCGCCATGAAGTTCTTTGGGGATCCAGGACTGTATCCAATTGTGAAAATGTTGGTACCTTAAGCTACTCCAGGCTCTAACTAACATGGGCAGCACACAAATTGGGCGTACACGTACGTGTCCATCTTTGGGTTTGCCGGGCTTGGGCAACCCAACAATTTGGTCACAAGTTGGCCGTATAAGAGCGGGTGTGGCCATCTGCCGTATAAGAGCGGGTGCGGCCATCTGCCCACTTTTTCTACTGTGGAACACAGCACCGCAAGGTTTTGGAAGGCTTGCTCAGGCAAAGCGGCCAATTCGTGTGGGCCCCACCCATCAAGACTGCTAGCCGCCTTGGATTTGCGAGTCAACATCTTGCGCAGCTCGCGGCCATTGATGTCAGGCAATTCGCAAGGGTGAGATTGGATCAAATGCTGACATTCCTGGAAGAACTGATCACGCTTGGCGGTGTCAGGCAGCACGTCACATTGCGCACGACTACGTCGCAGGAGTTCATCAGCAAGATGTTGTGGGTGACTGGTTGGACCGTTGGGGGTGTCTAACATATCTAAAGTTTTAGACTCGCCTTTGACCCAGCGACAGGCGGTTGCCACATCTGTGGTTACCTTTTCTCGCCATGTTGCAAGGCGTCGTTGTTTGATTGAAGTTTCCTGGTCAACGTGGAGCTTAGCAAGGAGGTTCTGTCCATTAGCAAGATGCTGCTGGTGACTGGTTGGACCGCTGGGGGTGGCTAACATGTCCAAAGCACTAGAATCGCCCTTGACCCAACGACGAGCGGTTATCCATTCTCGCCATGTTGCAAGGCGGCGCTGTTTGATTACGGTTTCCTGGTCAACGTGGAGCTTGTGAAGGAGGTTCTGTAGGCCTTCAACTTTTGTCAAAATCAAAACATGGGGGAAGCTCAGCCAAATTTTGCAAGGCACTCCGAATTTTGGCCTTCAACTGGCGTAGTTCTACTGGGCAAGGGCTTGTTTGCTTGAGGACCACCTTCACGCGGTTCAGCCTTAACTGGGTGCGGGTGTTGGCACGGCTGGCAAGGTGATGGTTTCCGCCGCCAATTTTTGGTGCACAGATTTGCCGTTCTTCAAGCGTCGGAATGCTCCCCTTCGGTCGCAAACCTTTTCTTTGAATCCAGCGCTGCGAACGGAGGTTTCGGCTACATGTGTCAGGACGCGCCACATGGCATCAACAGCAGCGTTTGACGCAACCACACCCCACTCTTTCTTGTAGGCCCTGAACATTTCAGCCCATTGTCTATCAGTTACTTGGGTCTGCTCCCTGGTTGCGGGTGCTTTGAGGTAGCGCGCCGCGGGCTGGACTCTGGTGTATTGCATGTCGGTGGAGGTAGAGAGCCTTAAGCTGACAGCAAAATGATTCACAAACGGGAGAATCTGAACCACAAACACGTTAGCATCTAATGGGCGAGCCATGTTATTAACCATGAAAAAGTCAACACGGCGGCCAGGCTGGCCGTTGCGGTGTGTGGTAGGTGTTTTTGCGACTGCCGCAGCAACAGAACTCTCTGCTCCTGCCAACATGACAGCTGGGTCAGCCGAACACCCCGAGCAAACAGCTTGCGTCCAAGCCCTGGAGCTGCTGACATCAAAATTAAAATCAGCAGCGATTACGATTGAGACGTCACCCAAAGCGGCGGCGTATTCAAAGAGCGAGGGGCGGAGTTCCTTACATGGCGCAGGCATATATGCCATAATCGTGCGCACAGACAGGTCATCACGGATCGGATAGGAATTATGGTATGCAAGGCTGCGTCCGCAGAGAGGGGAGCTACCGGACTCCCGGACACTGGGTGGCAACAAGGTTAGGAGCGGCGGTGCGACCCAACACCACAACGCCAACTTCTTTGGGCCCACCCTACCGGCTTTTGGGGGTCGAGAGTTGCTGATTACACTGAACGTAGAAACCCTGCCGTTTGGCTTCTATCTTTGATGTCTCCCCTTGTACCAAAGGCTAAACCTACAAAGCTTTTCTTTACAAGTAAGGAGACAAACTGTGCAGAAGCAGCTCTTTGCTTAGCATGGTCCGGGCCTTCATCGCTTTCATGGCCTTCATCGCCTCCCGCAGCACAGTTGATGTTTCAGACCCTTTCGAAGCCCTTTTGCACACAAAGGCGCTTGCTGGGTAATGGAAGGCCAACTGTCATGTAGACAGAGGGGAGAAAGCAGGTCAGGCTTTCCGTGCGTCTGCATCGAGAAGTCATTGAGAGGTCATCCAGAAGCCGTTGATGGCCATGATAAAGGCAAAGGCTTTCGGCAAAAAACTCAGCCGTAAGACTTCTACAAAAGTTTCTGTTCCAGCAGATTACTATAGCACGAACTATAGGTTAGTGTAGAGTAAGTGCAAACCTCCGGTCGTTGCCGAGACTGCTGAGACCGATCATGAATTTGTCACGTGCATTGTTAGCACCTGAACCGCCTTGCTACAAATCTTGCAATGAAAGCCGCCCCTGCTTCCTTACCCTGCCTTCATCGCCTTTATGCTCTTCATTGCCGGGGGGCGGTAATCTTATTGCGGAGATCGGCCCAGAAGGACCTCACCCAGCATCCGAAGCCTCAAACCGAGCAAAGACCAATTATGAGGCACGAGGCCCACACGCAGCGCGCACAGCAGCTCGAACTTCAGCAAAATCATGAAGCCGCTGCCAACTGGCAGAGATGGGTTCCACTGGAAGAGCCCAAGCTAGCCTACGAGCCCAAGGATCGCCTGGAGGGAACCGTGGCCTATCTTGATCAAAGTGAACACAACGCCAAACCTCGTGGTCCCATGACGGGGCAAGAGATGCTGCACAAAACCTGCAAGCACGCAGAAGAGTAGGATCTCTACGTGGCAGATTTAACCTCATGGCATCGTCGGCGGTCTCACTGTTGCCACCACCCAAAAGCACGCTCTTCTGTTCCGCGCTGGCCTTGGCGTAGAGCTTGCACGTAGCCTTCACTTGCGCTTCGTTATAGGCTGCGCGGGCCTCCACCAGCTCTTCGGCATCACGCCTGGGAAGACGCAGGAATGAGTGAACTTTCCGACGGCGCCACGCTTCACGAAGCCAATGTCCAGTGCGACCAATATCGACCTTCCGGGACTCTTGGAACCATACCAAATCGCCCCACATACCAAGTGATAAAGGATCACCGCGGGACCTCCAAAAATGCTCAACGCGTAGCCACGCGATGACAGCCTCCATCTGAACAAAGAAGGCCAAGTCATTCCAGTGGCCAGCCAAAACCTGCCATAGAGCTCGGGCACCCATCTGTATGACGCCGGTAGCTCTGCGTGCCAAAGAATCAAAACGGTAAAATCTGCACATAATCATTGAACATACTTTGAGCATACGTTGCCGAGAGAAAAACTCCGTGCCCAACACCTCCAAAACGATCATGAACCCAACCCCTGCTTGAGCAAGGGCAGGCGCCGAAGTCTTTGCCACCACCTTGAATTTGATGAGGTTCTCAACCAAACCAAATCTTTCGGACTGCGTGAACCACAACTTGCAGAAGGTCAAAGCAGCAAGTACTGTGTAGACATCCATGAAGATAGGTTGAACTTGCCTTGCTGGTTCTGCGAGTAAGGCACACAAAGCAAGTGGGGCTGCTGGGCATCCCTGTGGGACACTCGTGGACACCAAGGCTGGCGAAGTTGCTGTGATCTTGCCAAACTGCAACCAGCGTCGTTGCATTGGCCAAACCCATCGAAGAAGCTGAGAAAATGCCTTAGGACGGCCAAGTCTTTCCAGATTGATAATGGCGACCTCAGGTAGGACATGGTCGAAGCACTTGCTGTACTCGAGGCTGAGCATAATGGCGTGCTCATCATCGTACGCAGCTTCCAAAGCCCGTACCGCAGCCGGGGCCTCCCGACCTTGAATGCCTCCAAAGAAGTCAGGCACATAGGCTTGCAACCAATCTCTTGTTGCTTGTCTCTGCGTCCATGTAGACTCCAACACCTGATAAAAGGCGCTGAAGACACAGAGCGGCCGGAGCTTGTCAACCGCAATGGAAGCACAGTCTGCCCCAATCTGAGATTTTGGGATGCACACCATGCGTGCGTGTCTCCAGACTTCTGGAAAGGTATTGGCATCACTCCAGATTCGCACGGCCGAAACAAAGGCACACCAGAATGAAAGCGGCAGGTGAGCGACTTCCTCACGCGTCCAGCCGTCCGGCCCAAGTGCTCCTTCAGTCTTAGAGCGCGCCTGCAGGAGGAGTTCCTGAGCGGTAACTTGACTTTGCTGAGGCCAGGGTCTTTCATGCTTTGCAAGACCATGACCGGCAAAATGTCTAAGTGGTGCCTGCGCTGCATCACGCGGCCATACTTTGTCCCAATAGCCCCGTACCAAGTCCAAACATTGAGCGGTGTTACTGGCAGTAACTTTGCGGGTCTCCTCTTCCACAAAAACCGTCGGGACCAACACGGCGGTCCGATTCTTGAGCCAATCTGTCACTGTACGACCGCATCATTGCGTGCGCCTTCGCCACGCAGCAATGCAGGAACATCTCCGTCGCATGCGCTGTTTATCAATGAGGCGCCGAAGGTCACTGAGCACCTCGTCCAAGTCGTGCGAAAAGCAAACTTCGGCAGGCCAAACGCGTAGAACCTTGTTCTCAAGCATGATGTCAAGCCCACCGGCCGCACGTTGACGCTGAAGCTGGCAAACTCGCCCCACGAAATTCTCTCCAGGGACCGAAACTTGGCGGAGTCCTTTGGGATTTGCCGCGGCTTGTCCTGGAGAGGTTGAAGCACAGGGAGCCGTCCCCTCAAGCCATCGCCTTCCCTCATCGTGATTCCAGGAAGTCTCACACGACGACGAGCCTGGAGAATGGCCCGTGTGGCGCTGTCACACAAAGCCTGCCAGTGGTCATCCACCGGTGTCCATTTGCACTTCTTCTCTGCCAGATGCACAGTTGTCCCACAGGCATCTATATTCCTCGATGCGCTGCTCCATAAACTTCACGATGAATTGGCGAAGTTTGCGCAGACTACCCCTTGTCTCTTGGAAGAAGCAAAGACAATGATCCAGCAATGGCGTGAAGCAAGCAATCTCTTTTTCTATCATTGGCAACGCGTTTGGCAGAAGAAGGCATCCACGGACCACTACGTGAGGGCCGCGTTGGCAATGCATGATGTTTGGCCTTTTTCTGCTCCTGCTGCTGCAACTCCGTACCGTCCAACACTTCGTCATCGTCGTGAGCAAAGAGGTCGGGCAACTGCCAATTTACATGAGGTGTTTGCGCAGGCCTCTTCGCGCAGGCTTTGGGGGTGGCTCCACTCTACTTGGCATAGAAGGACTGAGGAGTGGGCACCGTCTGTTTGAATGATACCCTGTGTTCACGCGCGAGATGCCAAGCTTGACCTGTTCGCTTTTGACGAGCCGCGGCTTTCACGGCACACAGCTCGATACAACCCTCTCCACATGGCAAACTTGCGTTGATGACAGCTTTGTTATCATCACGTAAGGCACGAAACTTCCACATAGAGCCATGGTGCGCCCAAGATTTGTCCTCCAAACTGGCATCTTGGAAATCTATTTCTTAATGGCAGTACATCATCCGGATCGCACGCTTCAGGAAATTTATGAAATGTCCACAAAGCAGGTTTACGAAAAACCCGTCCATCTCCTGGCCTAACGCGTAGTCCAAGTTGATGTTTGCCAAAACACAAACCCATGTTTTCTTGACGACGCGCCCCTGCAGCATATTGAGACCATGTCTCACCATCATACCAATCAAGCCACGCAACTTCATGTCGTTCAAGTGTGTCTTCGGAAACACCTTGGACAGACCAACGCTGTGCTGGTTCTTCAGGTTCCAACATGCCTGACAACCGGATAAGAGCCAAAGCCACATCAAGCTGTCTGACCCTCAGCAAGCCAGCAAGGTTGCGTCCCTGCATCTGAAAACCCCAGGTGTCCCCGAGAAGAGGGCCACATCCAGGAAGGACAGTGTGACACTAGCGCGAGCGTGAGCGCCGGGGTCCTTCACCATCGCATCCCACTGTGTCCATGAGCCTTCTTGAAAGCTCATTGGCGCAGCCAATCTGACAACGTAGCCCCCACGCTGAAAATGTTTGCCTCGCACAGCTACATTGTCGAACTTAGCTGCTTGGAGGGGTCCAGGGAGGGCCACTGACTTTGTTTCCAAAGATGGAGCCTCACCGTGCCCTGCCTTCATCGCCTTCATGCGTCCTCGTTTTTCGTCAGCTTCTGTTTCCAAGGAGCGATACGTACGGAATCACCTTAGGGAACTCACGCAGGCACCAACCCCCTAAAACCAGAAAAACTACACCACCAACCCATGCAAAAGAATGCAGACGGAATCACCCGGCAGGCGATTCACGCACCAGGAACCACTAAATTGCCGGCGGTATCACGTGCTAGCCCTTCAGGCGGGCGCAAGATGACCGGTCACCCCTAAAAACCCCTAGCATCAAACAAGAAAGGAGCTCAGCTGTGTGCCGCAAAGAACCTCAACCATCACAAGCCTTCTACCAAGCTTTGTGCTGGAAGACTGCTCGAGCGTCATCGGCACCAGCAAAAGTAATGTAGAGTAGATGCAGAATTCTGGCCCCTTCTATGACAGACATGGTTTGCGTCACTCGCATTGTCAGCACCTGGACCGCTTGCTACAAATCTTGCAGAAACGTCCATCCCTACTTCCTCGCCCTGCCTTCATCGCCTTCATGCTCTTCATTGCTGGGGCTTCCTCGGCATCGGCCTTCTTCATCGCCTGCACACTCCAAGCTACTCGCACCGCAAGCAAGTTTCGGGCACCATCTGCGCAGAAGCACTTTGCAGAATCGTGATGCCCGCTTTTGTGTCCCTAACACAAAACAGTATTCCGACAATCCAGCACTGGACTTCCTATCGCTCCATTTTGCTAGAGCACACCGAAAATCTGTAACCGATGCATCTCCCCGCTGCCTTCATGGCTTTCATTGCCTTCATCGCCTGGCATGAGCGTCGCAGCATGGTGCCAGTTCAGCAAACAGTAGATTGCAGAAAAACATGTTAATCAGCGAATCTCCTGCAGTTTGGAGTATCATGTCCCCGTCAATGCAGTCAAAAGAAGCCAGCAACAACTGAAATCGCAAAGTGCAAACACATTCTAGCTGAAGATCAAACATTTCTAAGGCTCATTCGACACATCAAATCTTGCCACGACTGAAGCATGCAGCGCATGAAGAGCTCAGACAAACTAAGAATCGCAGTCATGCGAACATTCTCCCTAGCAGTCGGTCCGGCCTTCATTGCCTTCATGGCCTTCATCGCCTCCCATCATCAATCTTCCGTGAGCACAC